ACTGGCAAAATTTCAGCTTCAAAGCTTGCGCGGTTGGCGAGTTGAAATACCCGGACAGACGAACACGCACACACACAAACATACACATACACACTGACAGGGTCGTTTCAATGTGCGTTTTTGCTGCCTGTTGCAGCGCTCTAGCGCTGCACGGCAAAAACGCATAAAAAATGAATCATTAGGTACTAGACCTAGAAACAGAGGCGCAAAATTTTGCTTGGAAGGTGCAAAATTAGCCAGCAAAAAATCCCAAAAGTGCGCTAGAATGCAGATCTGCATCACCTGTGACAGGTGGCATAAAACTGCTAAAAGTGTCCCACTAAGGAAAAAGTAAACAAAAATAGCGAGACTTGCCAAAAGCCAATGTCTCCAACACATGAGCTGTTGAAATAAGAATTTGACCACTACTAGTGAAAAAACTAACCGCACGGTGGCACTGACTGATTCAAATAAATAAGCTCATTAGCACCCATCACCAAAATTCCGCCAACCGGCTGCGGGATGCCAAGAAGCTGCAATTCATAAGGCGCATTTGTTGCATGCATTAGACTGGTCCCGGCAGGACAAAGAACTGTGCCGCAACGGGACCCACATCAGACCTCGAGAAGATCAGAAATGTTCACGACATTACGCACTCCGGGTTCGGAAGGCAGGGATTTCAAAAGTCGCAAGTATCTCCACTCTTTTTTGAGCCCTGAGCATCCATTCCAACTGAGAGCACTTTTATATCGCTGCGGTACTTCACTCTTTTCCCCAACTCCAGCTAAGTGCTTCTGCTGCAGTAACGCTTGACCCAGATCTGCTGGCAGTCTGCAGAAAGGAGAGTGTGAGAAAATAAACTACATTTTCTGACTGCTGTCCTCCGGAGAGGAGCCCAATGCTAATCTCTGACGTCAATCCTGACATCCTGTAGCCAGAACTTCATATGATTTGTTAAAATCAGCTTGCATGTCTCGCAATTGCTAAATTATTTTCCTTCTGTCGAAGCACCTGCCATGTTCCCACTCAGTGCCTTTCTCGTTATTATTAGAATGTTACGAGTGGATGGCTGAGAATGCGAGGCAGAGTGAGGGAGGAAGGGAAAATATGTGAAGAGAGAGGCAACAGAACTACAGGAACCGCACGTAGCATATTCGATTATAAGTTTTTCGGCTCATTGTATGAATAACACATCCATGTGCAGACATTCAGAGATTTGGTATTTATGATAAGCAGCCCACATTCCAAATCCATTCCACCCAAAAAAGGTGTGACAAACAGCCGATAACCAAAAAGATTCAAAAAAGAGCAGTACCGCAGGACGGCTTCACTAACCTGATTACAATCCATTGGTAAGTTGCTCAACTGCCATACAGAAGCGTGAACTTGCTCTTTAACATTCAGCGAAACGCCAAGTACACACAACGTATCGTAACGTACACATGCGCTAAAGGAATCAAATCAAAGCTAAAAACCTTTGGAAATCTATTAGCAAAAAATTAATTTTAGTACAGTTTTCGGTGAATTTTATTCATAAGTTTTGCAGTAGTAAATGCTTATGCCTGAATTTTCTGGTAAGCCCGAAATATTTTCCAATCGTGGAATTTTTTTTTTTTGTATTGGTTTAGCGAATCTGGTAAGCTCCTGATCTTTAAAGAATTTTACAGAAATAAACAACGACACATATCCAGACACATATCTCTTCCCAAGCTCAGTGTAGTGATGGGTGATGACTACTATCAGCTTTGAAACTACAACTGAATAACTGGCCAACGCAGGGGCTGTTCGCGGGAAATGCGTTTTTTGCATAGTTCCCCGCAGTTTTTGTCGCTGCCGGCATCGCCTTTTTCGGCAAATCCTTCTAGCTAAACAAATTAAGACTGGCCGTAAAAACTGTCAGGAAGCACCTCCCTAAAATTTCAGCTATCTTTTCTGGCTCCTCAGTTAGCAATTTACTGGAAAAAATTTTTCACGAGCCCGCACTCGGGTACCAAGCGTACCAGATGTCTGAGTTTGAGCTGGTTGAGACTTATTTGGACGGAGAACACCCTCCTAAAACTACAGTCTTTTAGCTTTACATGCCCTCGAGTTGTCAGCTTACCCGAGAAAAACTTTGATGAATCCGTGCGTAGTTACCACGCATGATCGAGGGCTGGGTTTGATCTCGATGAGACTAATGTGGACGAAAAACACCCTCTTAATTTTACAGTCTTCTAGCATCTCAAATCCCCGAGTTATGAACCTGCCCGGGAAAAATTTTGACGGTCCCGTACGGGGTACCACGCTTACCCGGGAGTTGAGCTTGAGCTCATTAGTACCTACTTGGACGGGGAACATCCCCCTAAAATTTCAACTTTCTAGCTTTTCTGGTTCGCGAGATAGCAGATCACCCGTAAAAAATTTTGACGGGCTCGTACGCGAGTACTACGAATACGCAGGGGTTGGGTTTGGGCTCATTAGTACCTACTTGGACGGGGAACATCCCCATAAAATTTCAGCTCTCAAGCTCTTCTGGTTCGCGAGTTAGCAGCTTATCCGTAAAAAATTTTGGCGAGCTCTTATGTGGGTACCACGCGGGAAAGACCGCTCATTTTGGGGATGGGGCCCGTATGTGCATGTAGATTAAGTCCCCAAAGCTTCAGCCCTTTTCTGCCGGTCTCGAGATGAATAATTGGCCAACGCACGGGCTGCCCGTGCGAAGATGCGTTTTTTGCATAGTTCCCCGCAGTT